AAAATTTATATATAAATTAAAATTAGATGACTTTTTTTATTTTTTTAAATTTATATATAAATTATTCATCTATTAGTCTAGATCAAATATAATAAAAATTATTATAGAATATATTTTTTAATATAGTTGTTTCATTCAAAATGCTATAATTCAAACGGTTACATAATTGTTTAAAAAACTTAACATGCTAAAACAAATAAGTTAAAGCTAGAGGATTATCTTTTAATTTTAATAGTGAAATGAAAACGTTGCATTAGTTTAAGCATTTTTTAAAAAGTATGGATAAAATTATTTCAGATATAATGCTATGTGAGAAAAACACAAAAAACTGCAACGATTCATCTATTTATTTTCTAAAGTTTTAATTACATTTCAAGAGATATCTATTATTATTCTAATTTACTTCATTCGAAACTTATGGAAAAAATAATACTAATAAAACTTTGCAATGATATTTATTTCTCCATCACATTTGTTAAAGTTAAGTTATTAGATTACCAACAACCAATTGATCTAGGGGATAATGTACTAGGTCCCTTAAGCAATATTAAGAGTTTGAATCCTGACGTTTGTGAATTGAGCAAAATGGGTTGGGAGGGTCGCTCTCGTTTCTGCATTACCTGATCTGGATTAGTCGGTCAATAAATCGGATATCAGTGATTAATTAAAAAAAGTTAAGTTTGAGATTGGAATACCATTTAGTTTTGCCTGAAATATCTGTGGTGTGATGTATTTTGTGAAGAAACTAATCGAAAAAAATATGAAATAGATGATGAGGATCTCAAATTATTGCGTTCGCATAATTATACATATGTAAAGAGGATTATAATATTTTTGTGTATTCTTGTATAATTTACTATAAACAATATTTATTTTATCTCCATTATGTTGATTTTTACATCTAAATATGTATATTATTTTCTTTCAATTTTTATTAAATTTTAATTTCATGATAAATAAATGAACATTAAATCATCCCTAGAGAACGTGCCGTGCACAAATCTCAAGCCATGTGATTAGACGACTTGAGTTATTTGAATTTTAATGGCCCAATTCTTTTTGTATTAAATATGTATGTTCATACGTCATTGTCATTGATTTATGTTTATGGATTAATTACTTTACATATACCAAAACAACAAGGGCTATATGGATAGTCACTTGTTTTTGTGTTTTGTTCACTTTTTAGTCATTAATTTCAAAAAACATAAGATATTATCACTTTTGTTTTTATTTAATAAAAATTTGGTTAGTTTAGTTTTTATTTAATTAATATGTGGTCACAGCTAGTTAACTCTTGTTAAAAATAGTTAAATATTTTGATATAATCACACATTTAGTATATATTATTTATATATTCACTCAATTTAGTCATATTTTTAATAAAGTAAAATAAATTTAATCTTCCAATCGAATGATGTCACATGTTATGTCATGTAAGGGTGATAAAAATACCCGATTCAATTGACCTGATTGTCGACCCGCCAACCTAATTAAAAAATATAGGGTATTTATAATAAAAAACTCGATTTTTCAGGTCGAGTACCCAACCCGCAATTTTTTTTGTTTCTGGGTCGGGACTGGGTCACAAAATGTTGCTAGGTACACGCTGACCCAGTAGCTGATTTATTATATATATTTTTATTTTATTTTATATTAAATTTTTTATTCATAATTCTCAAATTATTTGACTCTAACATTCTAAAATCCTAATTTCTTAAATTTTAAAGCCATAAAGTTCTAAATTCTTAATTTCTTAAATTATTTCACATTAATGTTCTAAATTATTTATTAAAACATTTGAAATTTAATTATATTTATTTATTTTAATTTTTAATAAATTTTATTTCAATTATGTAATTTAAAATTTTAAATGAATTAAATATATTATAGACTTTTAAATTTTAGAACTATTCTATATGATTTTTTTAAAATAATATAATTTAAAGAAAAATGAAAAAAATTATGAATCGGCCACCTGTGACCTAGATTATATATAATATAATTTTATATATATTAACTTAAAATATTTTTATATTAACTTATTAAATATATTTTATTATTAACTTAATTTAAAATGTTTTTTTATTTTCTTTTAAAAAAATAAATAATTTATTTTAATTTAGTAAAAATATTACTAAATTGAGAGAATATGTATATAACAAGGATCAAATGTGTGATTATATAAAAATATTTAACTGATGTTAATGGCAGTTAACTCGGGATGACCACATCTTAATTAAATAAAAACGAAAGTGACATTTTCTTAATTAAATAAAAATGAAAGTGATCATATCTTATGTTTTTTGAAAATTAATGACCAAAAGTGGACAAAACAAAAACATAAGTAGTCATCTGTGTAGTTAACCCAAAAAATAAAAATGTGAAACAGGTGACAATTATATAATTTCGTTTTTATATTAAAGAAATCATCCAACAACCACAAACCGAAATTCAAAATTATTAGTTAAATTGGTGTGTTGGAGTTAAAGTGCTCAACAGAAGTATTAATCATATATACAAAAGCTTAGAACCATCCAAGATCTTGATTTAGAGCTTACTAAGTCACATGTATCCGTACGTATGTGTATACACACATATATATAACAAGAAGAATCGATGTATAAATTTATACGTTTTGTTTTACCATCCCCAGAAGGGACAGCAGCACGTAGGCTGTTTATGATTGTATATAATAGGAGTTGGTACTTAAATTTTTTTAAAAGTTTCCCAAACGATTATAAGATCATTGTATTTGACAATAACAAGCCACTGAGCTGGTAAAGGAGAGCTTTCGGCTTAGGGTTTGGTGTGGAAGTTGAAGGCATTTTGGAAGGAAAAGAAAAACACCAAATGGTTGTAGATAAGAATGAAACGCCACAATTGACTAAAGCAAATTGGAGTTTATTATTCAAATAAAATGTTAAACCAATTGTGTCCTACATGGCCAAAAAGTAAACATTTGCGAATTGAATTCTTCTTTTCTTGTCTATAGCATATTGCAACGCATATGTATATTTTCTTCCGTCGCTATCCTAATGATCCAACTAGCCTATACCGTAACACTAATAAGGAAGCATTTCACGCACCAACTTGGAATCCAATCCCTCATGTACTACTACTAATAAAAGTATTATTTTTTTAAGTCGCCCCACCCCTTTTTCTATTCAAATTGACACCTGTGTCACCAAGGGACCCATCACTTTTGAAATTGTCAAGTGAAATATGTTTGAGGGCCACGTGTCAACCACTTGTAATATATGGAAGAAGGCAACGTACTACTTTTTTCTGTACGAGATATTGGACCTGCAGACGGTGTAATATTTTGATTCTTCATCATAGATGCCTGATGTGTTTCTAAGCAAATTTGTACATTTTTCGAGCATATATTAAAAAAATTAAAAGTACATATAACATTATTAATATCACAGCAATTTGTGGTGTAAATTTTGGTTATGACTAATAGAATTGTCCCCCAAACTAACTAATCTTACAGAGATATGATCATGTTTTCTAGTCTTAGCGTTGGATAGAGAGATTCTGGCTTTACCTACTACGCATTTTAGGTTGACAAACAATGTGAAATACCGGAATATGTTGATTCCTTTTGACTTTATCGACCAGAGATGCTCCCACACCGGACTTGTTTAGCACAAGGACAAGTGGACTAGGCCTTTTCCTTTTGCAAGTTGATCTGCTCCCCATCCTGAGAATTGATCTCTTGTGTTTCTTGTCCTTATTTAATTATTTCTCCCAATTTCTATAATTAATTAAAAGTGTTTTTTAATCTTAATTGCAGGAGGATTATAAGGACGTCCTTTCTTATCCCGTTTATTTTAAAATGAAGATTTAAATCATAAAATTTTTTAGAGGATGCAGTTCTAGTAGATCAATTCCACTACAATCCATTGTTTTAAAAATTGGATCGGATCGGCCGGTTCAATCGAGAACCGTTGTCTAGTCAGGTTCAATCTACACCGGTTAAACCGTTATTAGTGAACCGGTCGGAACCGTTGAACCATTCAAACCAGACTGGTTAAAAATCGGAAAAAATCGCCAATTTTGTTTTTTTTAAATTAAACCAAACAACATCGTTTGTTAAACGAGCCAAGTCGAACTCGAGTATTGCTGAGCTCGACTCAAACTTGAAAATTTTAAAAGTAAGCTCAACTCGACTCAAACTCACGAGCTAAAAATTATCAAGTTCAACTCAAACTCGAAACATAATATTGAAACTTGAACTTGAAAATGCTTGAACTCAAAAAAAATTTAAAAGCTCGATTGAAGACTAAAATTCGAGCTTGATTGAAGTGAAATAATAGTTCACTTAATGCTCACCAAAAGTCTTCATAATTTTGGATGCTAAATTACCTTTATTATTTATAGAAGTTAGTTTGGATGCTCTTCTATGTTTCTTAGCCATGTGAGATTGTTTTGTTCTCATATTTTTACTCTTTAGACTTTTGGATGCTCTTCTATGTTTCTTAGCAATGTGGAATTGTTTTAAAAAAAAGTTAAACCAAATAATATTGTTTTGTTATGATTTTTTAACCCCAAATTTATTTTTTAATTATAGTTATATAATTATATTTTATTATTTAATATGTTTTACCTTAATTATTATGTTGTAGTTAATTTGAATCATTTTGTTTCACTTGATTTTATTGTTTTTAATTTATATATGTTATGACTTGCTTTGAAAATGACTTGTGATATAAAAAATTATTTTTTATTAAATATTTTTTGTATTTTTATTTAATTTTTTAAATAATTATGACATCGTCCGGTTCTTCCGACCGGTTAGACCGGTTCAACCGATTGAACCAATGAACCGATAACATGACCGATTCGCTAACCGATCTGATTATGAAAACCAGGCTACAATCACTTCTTTGAAATTATATTTTTAGGGACCCGTCTGTCTCTAATATCAGTCCCTGATTTATGCCACAACCCCGCTCCTATCAAGTTTCAACTCCCCAGTCCCCAGTGTCGCCCATCTCAATCCCTATTTCCTCCACTTTTTGACCACTTGAGTTCCTTCCATAGCTGAAGATCCATCCTTTGTTTTTTTTCCCATTAGTTTTCCTGAGTTCACCGTATATATTTATATATAGGTTCTTCATCTCACTGTTCTACGGCTGCCTAAGATATTCAGTGGAGTTCTTGAGGCTGCTTGAAAGAGAGAAAAAGAAAAGGAGGCTACTTTATCTAGGAAGTCTGAGCCAGGGTTTCGAATGAAACACACGGGTGGAGACAAGTATAAAGATGTCCAACAAACCTACGTCTCTCTCTCGCCTTATTATGTCCATCGCCGACCCATGGCCCTTTTCCTAGTCCTCTTCTCCCTCTAAAAAACCCTTCTACTATTGTTCTTCTAAGCTTCAAGTTTATTCCCTCTTTTCTCTTGAAATATTATATCCGTGACAGTAGTAGGCACGCTTCATGGGAAATACAAGAGGATTCAAGATCGGTAAACGGATAGTCCGGATTTCGAGATGGTTCACGCGTAAATCTCGAAACCCATATGGGTACCATCGCCTGACGCAAGCGGGATCGTTTCGCAAGTCTGAGACTTTATCCAAGTTCTTCAGTTGGGGTCGCCGCTTGAAAAACGGAGCCAAATCCATTTCCTCCGCCCAAACCGGCTCCGGTTACATTCCCATCGGCGAAGACCCCATCAAGGAAAATTCGACTGCAGTTCCAAAAGGACACTTGGCTGTCTACGTCGGCCAAAACAATGGTGACTTTCATAGAGTGTTGGTGCCAGTCATTTACTTTAACCATCCTTTGTTCGGCGAACTCTTGAGAGAAGCCGAAAAGGAGTATGGCTTTAGTCACCCAGGTGGAATCACCCTTCCCTGTGGATTCTCGGAGTTTGAGAGGGTCCAGACCCGGATCGCTGCGGGAACTGGTGGAAGGAAAGCGGCTTGGAAGCGCCACCATTAACTGGTTGCTGCTAGAAAGTTGATGACGACGATGATAATTCATTCTGATCAATGATTGCCATAATGATTTTCTCTAATTTATGGTTACGTAGATTCTGTTTACCATGTAATGGTTTTTCAGTTGTACATTATAGAGAATACTTTTCCTTCAAACTTACTTAGGTTACATAAACAATTATTTACGTCTATGATAACACCGATACATGTGATTGATTGTGACTGTGATATTAGGCACTCCTATATGATTAGGATTTGCTGAACTTTTAACAAATAGTAGAGAGTGAATGATGAAGAACGTGGACATGGTCCAGGGAGCTTTGCGTGGCAACCGGTTCAGGTCATTTAACATCCAAGTTGTGGAGGAATTTGTCTATTTCTAACTCTTCTTGTGATTTCCATTTTCCTCTCTAAGATTCGCCACTGAGGCCTTCAATACTTGTGACTGAGACACCTATGGTGACAAGCACTATTTGTCGATCTTTTCCTTCTTTTCCCATTAGTATGTAAATGAAAATATTTTCATCGAAGCCAACCACAAAAACCATATAAACAGTCTTCTCTCTTTTTTGGTTCTGTAAAATTTTATTGGACGTTCGGGGTGCCTTGTCTTACTTTTTTTCATTTTGTTTATAAGCCCAGCTACTTATTTGAAAGAGAACGGGGCCGGTATTTTTGGCGACGGCTAAAATAATTGGCCTAATAAGTTAGCCTCAAATTTATTTTGTAATTTACTGCAGATGTTACAGTGAAGCACAAAGGTGACGAGTTTGATTAAAACATATTTTTAATAGCCCCAGGTGCGTGGACCTCATGTGAGCTAATATTATAATATATTTCAAAGACTTCTCACGTTAATGTGACAAGTTCAATGAGAAGTAATTTTTTTAAATTCGGTAAATAATTTAAAAAATAAAAAAAATAAAGAAACTTGTAACGTCGAGGTGACAATTACCCTTGAATTTAAAAATAAAATAGTCGTTGGACAACGTACAATGTTTAAATTTTTAAAAATTTAACCGTTGAAACTCTTCAAGTTGACGGGACGAGTTTCGTCAAATTTAATTTTTCAAAATTAATTTTAAAAATTGTTTAATAATAATTTTATTACAAAAATAATAATAAAAGTTCTTACAAACTAAGACAATGCATAATAAAGTTTATTTATATTTTCATAATTCTTGACAATGCGTAAGAGTGATCAAATGGTAATGACATTGTGTTCATTGAGTACGTCATGGTCATCCTCCTTGATCACATTTCTCTTCGTTTGTTTGTTGAACATGTGTACTGAACTCAATCCACTTTGAAATCCACCTTCGAAATACGGTGATGGAGTACTTAAGGTATTTGATAATATCATTACCGTCATTTATACGACTTGGCTACCGAAAACAATACCTTATTGACCATATATAATATGATCTAATTCACCCTCACTCACATGTATGTCGAAGATGCTTGAGTGCCTGACAAGTACCACACCCTTAACCATTGACACACCACAACTCTGATCCTTCAAAAAATCCATGTGGCATCTTTCCCAAAATTGCTTGAACAACAGTGAATTGGTTGAAATCGTTGTGCCTCACTAGTGTCACACAATTAACTGAAACATCGAGTTGGTAAGTGACATCCTCCAACGTAATCGTCGTTTTACCACACGAAAAAATGGAAGGTATGCATCTCGGGACTCCAACGTTCAATCAGAGTCGAAATAAATGTCGGGTTCACCTTAAAACCATATAGAAACATGATTGGATACGACCCATATTGTTTTAGATATATAATAATCCACTGATGCGAATCTCTTAGGGTAATTCCTCGTTAAAAAATGCCACGTTCTTCTCTTGGACCAAGTTAGACTGAAGAAATATGAACAACATCATGGCGTAACATTTCATCTCGCGTAGACATTTTTTGAGAATTATTCAAAAAATATGATTTTTTTCTTTATTTTCTTGTACAATTAAAATAATATTTTTCCACTAAACTCATCACATCGATGTGTTTAGTTTTGCTTCACTATAACATTTGCTTTAGATTGCAAAATACATTCTAGATTGACCTATTGGGTCAATTATTTTTGCCGCCTGAGGTAATAGCCCAAAATTTCCAATGGGGGGCATGTATGGAATTCTCAAGTCCGCCTAGATTGGTTTAATCAATGAGATGGTTAGGTTTAAGTAAGCAACTATTAATGTCCTGAATGGAAGTTTTAAGTAGGGGCCAGAAGAAGGCCCAACCACTACATTTACATAATTTGTTTGCCTCAATTCCCTAGGCACTTAAATTATTTGGCCCAATAGGCCATCTTAGATTTTATTTTGTAATCTACGACAAATGCTACAGTAAAACAGGAACTTGTCACCTCAAGGTGACGAGTTTGCTTAGAAATATTTTCTAATATTCCTAGTTAAGTGGGCTCTACATGAGCCAATATTTTAATATATAAACAGAAACTCATCACCTCAAGGTGACTAGTCATATAAGAAATTATTTTTCTTGAAAAAAATTAGTAAATAATTTATAAAATTAAAAAACGTTAACTCATCACGTCGATGTGACAAGTTCCTCTTGATTTTTTTTAAAACAAACTCTCCATTTAAAAATGTTGGGCAATGGGCAACTACAACAGTCATATTCCAATGGTCAACATGGAAATCATCACCTAGGTAACGTGTTTGCTCAAATTTTTGAAAAACATAGCCATTTATAGCTGTTGGGTTTGGGTTATAAATAGGGTTTGGGGTTTAGGTTTTTAATTATGTATTATTAAACAAAAAATTGAGGAAAATATTTTGGTTTTGAATAATTCCCGAAAGATTTATACCCGAGAAGATAGTTACACCTTGTTGATGTCCATATTTCTCTAGTCGAACTATGTCCATAAGAAGAACGAGCATTCGTCAATGAGGAATGACACTGAGAGATCTGTATCAATAGATTACTATATATCTACAACAATTTGGGTTATATCCAACCACATTTCTATTTGGTATAATGTGAACCCAACATTGATTTCAACTTTGATTGAACATTGGAGGCACGAGACGCGTACTTTCTATTTTTCTAGTAGTGAAGTGACTATTACATTGTAAGATATCACTTACCAACTCGGTGTTATGATTAATGGTGTAACACTAGTGAGGCCAAACAATTACAACCGATTCAGTATTGTTCATGAAGTTTTGGGAAGAATGCCACCACTAGAGATCTTAGACGGGTACCAAATGTATATAACTTGGTTAGAGTCTGAATTTCAAGTGATCCGTGACACTACCGGGGAGGAGGTCATATTTGCAGCACAATGATATCTTCTCCAATTGATTGAAGGGATATTATCACTGGATCAATTCGATAATTTTGCGTAAATTATCTTCCTATATTGAATAATTTTACTAAGTATCTTCCTATATTGAATAATTTTACTAAGTGTCGTAATACTAGTTGGGGCTCGACGATTTTGACATTTTTATGCTGGGAACCTTGCAAGGCTACAATCGTCGAAAGGGGTCAAAAAGCTGGTGTAGTGGGTTGTCTAATATTGCTACAGTCTTAGGCTGGTATCGGTTCTTATTTTTTACGCCAATTACAGCAACCCTAGTTGAGTTTTTCTGGTTGCAAGGTAATTTTTTTAAATTTATTTTTTAAATATAAAATATAAAATATATATTTTTCTTTTTATATTATTTAGTGTAATGCCCATAATCTGTATACGTCTCATAATACAAGTTAAAGATGTTACATTAACATTTCAAACATTCTTTGTACATAAACCTTTAAAATTTTGTTCCATTATGAAACCTCCATTTGATAGTTTAAAACTATTTAAATAATCACAAATAATTAAAAAATAATTATTTATTATCCAAAAAAATCAATTTTAGCCAACAATTAGGCAGTTCAATGTTATTTCATAAACTATATAAAATTGCCTAAGAACTGCTTAATTTAAAAACTTTTAAATGACTATTTAAAACATAATATCATATATATATATATTACTCATCTATATGTTAGAATATAGCTAATGCTAGCCAAAGTGGAATAATCCTAGTTTACTGTTATAGACCATTCTAAAATAAATTCATCAAAACAACCAAACATATATAATATACATGCCACTAAAAAGTTAAAAGAACATCAAAGATGTCTTACTGATACTGTCGGTAAGTACTATTTTCAAAAGATGCTCGGGGGCTCCTCACTTCACGTCCTTTTCTTTATATGAATCTAAGCATGAAAATCATTACACACTAAGTAAAACTTAGCGAGGCAATAATAATTCAAGGTGAGATAGAACATAAAATATCATAAATTCATAAAACAATAAAGTATGTTGAAAACATTTTGATGTTTCGATATAATAAATTAAGTGTTAATGAATTTTAAGATTTTATATTTTAATTATATATTCGATTAAATTATTCGAATATCAAAATATTACTCCAAGTTTTCAAATGTCAAATTCAATCTATACTTAAAGTGTAAAATTGTGTTTTAATCTTAAATATTTTCTGAAACAAATTTTACAAAGTATTTCGAGCCTTAATCGAACAAAAAAATATTTTCTTTATAAAAGGATTTCAAGAAAAACCAGATTGCCCAGAGGATACCGATACTCCCCTTATAGGGTACCGATACCCATATGCAAGTTTTGGCTCTGAGAAAACAGAATGCTCTAAGGGTATCGATACCCCTAGTCAATTAACAATCGAAATATTTGAATTTTACACTGCAGGTACCGATACCCTATGTAGGGGTACCGATACCCCCACGCTCCTAACTATTTTATTTAATTGTTTTCACACAATAACGGCTCTATTGACTCTACTAATGATCCCCAACATTCAGAAGTGATCCAAGGAGTATTTAAACAAGCTTAGGAGCCATTGATCAACAACAATTAAGAAGAATTGAGAGAGAATCAAAGAGAAAGTATCAAACCCCAAGTTTGAGCATTTTCAAGCCTATTATTTCATTCAATATTCATTTTTGCTTTCAAGAACACTTATTGTGCTCAATTATATT